AAGAAATGTTGTCGCACGGATGTGTTACAACGCAGTTTTTTTCTTTGTTTATAGCCGTGGCCCCTGGTGTTGGTTCTTGTTTCAAATTTTAGGACTCCTTCTGGGACCTTGTATAAACCGTGAGTATACTTGTTTACTTCAATGAGGTCACCACGCAGACGTCGATAACAGAGGCTTGGAAACTTCATAATCATCAATATTTCTTCATAAGACTTGCCTTTTAATCCAGAAATTATCCTTGTTGCACGTCTTTTAACATTCTCGACTAAATTTTTATCCTTTTCTAGTTTCGGTGACCACACGGCGTTTCCAAACTTTTTGTTCGGACGCACGACAGCGACAAACAGCTTAATCGCTTCTGCATCTAGGAACTCATAAATGAGAGTCTGATCAGTCCAAGTCGTTTATTGGCTTTATTATCTTGAGCTTCAATATGCTTAGAAATTTTCAACTCATTGTCGACATGAACTCCTAAATCTTTTTCCATTGTAGACTTCGACATCATCGCTCTCTCGTTGCATCCATGTCTTCTCATACTGTAATCTTGCTGTTCATTGTTCTAAACAAGGTGGATTACTTTACAGTTTACACTTGTCAGCATTGAAACGCTGCAACCAGTATCAGTACAGTCAACTTCACTGTCTATAGATCATCTTGGAACTGTACTTATTGTGACGTATTCTTCACTGTATTATAAACTTTTGTGTCGTCAGCATACATCAAACAAACGCTAAACACTACTTCTGGCAGATCGATTAGTATATAAACGCAAAGAACAAAACAGGCCCAAGAACGCTTCCTTGCGACACGCCGCTACGCACTGAAGCCCAGTCTGCTACGGTTCCGTTAATACTGACACGTTGTCGTCTACCTACATAGAATATCTCTGATCCATTTGAAAACGTTACTCTCAATTCCCAGAGACTTCACTTTACGCAGCAGCCGCTCATGAGGGACGCTGTCAAATGCCTTGGCAAAGTCGAGGTACAACGTAAGTAAGAGGCCAGAAATGATTAGGCTAGAGTGGGTTGCTCACTTATTATAGGGTAACATGGGGCAGCGAGCCCATTGCGGGTCGTGGGCCCTTAGCGGGTTTCTCGCTAAGTATGGCAGATATTGGTCCGTGTTCTCTACCGCCGCTCGACAGTTTCACTGGGATGAAGTGTACGGATTTACGTTTTCCTATGTTTTTGTGTTATTTGGTTATTTGTGAATAACTGTTTTAGCCCAGATAAAATTTTTTTGCTGCTAAATAAAACTGTTTTCGATAACTGTTAATTTTTGAAGTTACTTTTGAAGTTACTGTGATATATATATTGAAAGTAATATTTATAGGGATAATTTTGAGATCAAGTTTAGACTATTAGCTTTTAAAATTAAATGTTGACACGATATAAATTGAAATGATACCTATAGTGGGGCAACGGGCCCACGCGTGTCACGGGGCAAAGCGCCCATGGTGAAGTCTTGTGTTATACATCATTAGATTTGTCTCAATGACCTTTTCAAAACTACGACAGTTTTTTGAATTACAAATCACACTTCATATTGCATGATTTTTTCATTTGCCGCCTCAAGGCATCAGGTTAAGTTTCTAGTTATGAGTATTTATGACCATTTATCGAGTTATTGACTCATGCCTTGCCAAAAGTTGATTTCAGTCAACACCAATGAGCCCAAAGTTGATGAATTTTTATGGTGTTGGCTGAAATCACGATTACGTACGAATTCTCTGCACATAATATCTGGATTATGGACGAAACTGGAACGAAGTTTTTTCTGATCAATTAAATATATTTATTCTAGTCAAGGATACATTTTTTCATGTCAAGGACGAATTTTTTATCGCAAGGATATATTTTTCAAGTCAAGGATATACATTTTTATGTCATTGAAACATTTTTTTTACGTCAGTAATAGATTTTTAAGCCAAGAGTATATTTTTCAAGTTAAGGATATGATTTTTTGAGTTGTTAATAAATGAATGAATGTCATATTTTTTATTGCATTTTCTTATTTTTAACTGTAAAGTGTTGTTTATCATTTTTAAACGAAAAATATGCAATTGTGGTAAAGGGACCAAGGGTGGGCGCCTTGCCCCATGCCCATGGGCCCATTGCCCCAGGGGTGGGGCAATGGGCCCATTTCGACACTTTTCACAAAATAGTGTTTCATTAAAAATTGAATAACTCTTATAGGCGTCTAATTCACATCATACATTCCTCATTAGTTGTACTTTTAAACAAAACAAAGAACCACCTCGTATCAATTGAAACTTCAAAAAAATTTTAGTTTGAAAAAGGAGAGGGCGCGCTGCCCCTTGTTGCCCTATACAATATAATACTAAAATAATCAGTTGATTTAGTTACCAATATACCTTTCGAAAACTGTTTAAATCTGCCTCAATTCTCTGTTCAAAGGTCTAATGCTCTTGTCATGCGTTTGCGCAGTAACTTGTTGAAACTTCTTCTTGAATTATCAGCTTTACGCGAATTTTTTTAATTTTCTGGCGAGTTTTACGGATGATTGATGACTTTGGTATTTGTCTCCCGTTTGGTCCAGCTCCAGCGCATATTTTCCGGTGTTTTCTCGAGGTTGCTTGGCTGGCCAATTTACCTCTTCATTATTAACCTGTATTCTATAATCGATCTGACAAAAACACAATTTATTTTATTTTCAAATATCCCTCTCATGTGGGGATTTTTTTTATTATCGTAAATTGCAACATAAGTCTATCGAATTTAGTCTATCCCATTCAAAATTAGAGGACTTGTTAGAGAGCTATCTAGAATTTAGATCATACTGAGAATTGGAGTTGCGACTATCAGCAGAGAAAGGAAGGAATTTGTGTACATAGCTTGAAAAATGGTTGGATTGTCAACCTCAACATAATTTTGAATAAAAAAGGCATGAAGATATTGTTTTAGTGAATGAGCGTAAAATTCTTGAATATGAATTTCAACATTTGCTTGTATATTGCAACACAAAAGGAAAACAAATTAGGTTCTGCATGAACTCAATTGATTTGTTCCCCAAAAGCACCGTTTAGCACGATTACATATTATACCTATGTCGAATTATTGACAAAATTATATCACAAGTCACTGTGTTTCTATTAAATCAATAGTTTCATATTGCTTCAACAGACTCAAAACTTGGGCATGGACTATAGGCATAAATGTAGAGTGACATTCTGTGTTTGGGGGTGAGGAGGGGTGAGGGGCAGGGTTTAAAGTGCCAACCCGCCAACGAACGACGTTTACAATTGTGGTGGTGAGCTCGTAGGGGAGAGCAGATACCCTTACCTAACGAACGGTTCATCTATTAGTGAAAAATAAGCCGCTGTCTGCAGTGAAGATGAGAAATTTTGCGCTAACTCGGGAAATAGGGAGAATTTAAATAGTAATGAAAATGTTTACCTCGACGTAACTAAAAAAATCTATGCACAATTAATGTGCAGCTCATACTTCACAATTCTCGCGCACCTTCGGCCACGTCACTACGCTGCCAGACGCTCCCGCTGAAATTTACGCTGCTCTCGCCCAGTGTGCCGAGTTTAGAGTTGGAGCGTCCGTGAACGGGCCTCTTAAGTAACGTTCAGCTTCTTGTATATGTAGCTTCCCGCGCAAATGTTTTGATAACACCACCGTTAGATCTACGTCTTCATAGCAGCACTTACGCAACACGTAAGTCGCTACGTGTACGTAGCGATGTTTTGATAATCCGACCCCTGAACTGCTTCAGACGCAAACGCATCAGCTACTCACATCTGAAGAATAAATCATCGAAATATTTCGAGTGCGAATACTCGCAGGTCAATAAGCACCTTAAGGCTTGAAAGGTAGCCTCTGGGCAGCTGGGCAGCTTGCATCTCGGCATGACTTGGCTCACCTAACCCTTCTACTCACAGGCGAGTATAAAGTCGGAAATGAGAAAAACTTTAGGCCGATTGTTAGACATCCCTGACTTGATGCGACCGTCTCTAGTTTACAAATGCAGTTGTGCGCAATGCGGATGAGTGAAGGCTGGTATGAAGTAAGGCAACTTATATTCTAGACTGGCTGAGCATTATGGGAAGAGTTCGCGAACATGATACCTGCACATTCATTCAGTTTTAAGAGATGATGGGGGGCGGTGCAAAGTCCCAGCTTTCGAAAGCGAGTTCAAAGCTTTAGCTTCCATAATCAGTGTCTGACTTAGGAATTTCAGAATCCTCATTTTCAAACAGGTGCCTAGTGTGCTGCCTTCAGTTCTGATCCAGTAGAACTTGTTAATAGGAATTGTCTTTCATTTTTAATTTTAGCTTTAAGTCTGCAACGTGAATATTAATTGCTTATAATTATCTGTACTTGCATTCAATGATGGTCGATCTGATGATAGAGCTAGACTCCGGAACATTTTATTCTATAAAATATGGTGAATATAGGTGGCATTTAATTTGCTTTCAAACTCTTGAATAAATTAAGTATTTAGCAGCGTTTACTTTCATTATTTCACAGTATAATTTCTATCGTCGATAGTCTTCTGTTACGCTGCTGATACGTTTACCCTCAATACAGCAGGGCATCGTGTTTTTCTGCTTTGGTCTTGCGTTGAAGGTAAGTAAGGCTAGAGGGATGTGACTGGGTTCAAATATTACGCGGCTTTCATTTAAAGTTCGACTATTTGCCTTATTGACTCAGTAATAGAATATCTTTCGATCCCATTTGTTAGCTGGCTCTGTCATTTCAGCTCGCATTCAGAATCCTATTGGGTTGAGGCAAAAGAAATGTCTAAAAAAGTATCACAAAAAATGTCTGGGCAAAAAAATGTCTAAGTGTATCTGGGAGCAGTCGCACCATAAAGACGTAAACACTATGAGGTGGCACCAAGTTCGTACAAATATGGACGTTAAACGTACTATGACGGAGCTGCAAATATCGGCCCCTGTAATACGTTCCCCACGAAAACATCACACGAAATATGAATACAACTAAACCCGACAGGATGTTAAACACATAAACATTCAAATCATTTATTGTATTGTTACATAATAGATTACATTATAACCCAAAAACTGCGCGTGGCAGCATAACTCGTGAATAATGAATGCACACGGATAAATGGTCATTAATAGGATATATAGTAAATGCATCCTACCGTCCTTTTCCTGAATATTTCATGGGGGAGATTGAAACTCGATTCTAAAAAATCCGCAAAAACAAATATTAAAACACAGCCACAAACATAACCGAAGAAATCCCGAAATTCGAAATTGCAACAATTACAATTTCCTGCTCAGCAATCCATCTAAGCGGAAATGAATGGGTTAAGGAAGAAGAAAAGTTTTCTGATGCTCAGTTCGTCTTCTTCTGGCTCATTTCAATCTTCTTCCGTGACATCAACCGTCCATGTTATTCCGTGACATCACCCGGTTAATATAGCAGTCGAGAGACAGACGAATAGTCGGCTAAACTGGAACGTGAAACACGAAGCATAAGAAATGAACATTTACGGACATTCAGTGATCTCTTCTGTTTGGTGCAGTGGTCTGACATCATTGAATTTCTAAGAAAGAGGTTTTTTCCTTTCATTCGAACTATAAGCAACCGTTGGTAATTTTTCCTTGTTACTTCAAAATTTAAGCAATACATATAGAAAATGTAGCACTTGTTTCTAAAGCAAATATGTAGATAAGCACATGCTTCTACTTACGTTCAAATATTTCATGGTGGACTTCTTGCACGTTGGGTAGGCGGCTTTGAACTTCGCGTCAGCGCTGCATTTGTTCTGCAATGTGGTTGCTTTGAAGGCCGCGTCGTCGAACGTGTTGTCTGCCTTCAGCTGGAGAACGGGAAGTGGAGATATGGAAGATGTATGGTAACTGCAGTTTGGATTTATACTATTTTTTTTGCTCGGTGGAAAAATGTCTTCAGCATTAAATAAGATCGTAAAGGGTTTCGTGTCGGCTTTTGCGTAGAAATGTGAGAGCATCGTTGAGGATGATGGAAGGAGAAATTTTTGAACATGGACGCAATACCGAATTGGAAAATGCCTACCCGCTGTCTCGACCCACTTGCCAGGCTTGTGTGCCCCACCAGTGGGTCAAGCCTAATAGTTTGTGAGTGACATTAACCCTGCAAAAATCAGACCAACACACCAGACATCAATACTGCTGAGCGTGTGTGCTGTGAGTATGCGACCAGAATTTTTGAGCTATAATGTCCAGTCATGAACTCGGCGCCCAATGTACAGTCATACTCACAAGTCCTGCACTCTATACTCAATGACCATTGAGCAGTCATACTCTCAAGTTCTGCACTCAATGCTCAATGTACAGTCATACACTGTGACGTCGCTCTGAGACGCTCGTCAGCTTCAAACACACCCTTCAGCTACATCATCTATACCCGGCAGAACTTTGTCATAGTCCCCCTTAAACGACACTCCGTTTTCTTTGGGACAAACAGGCCCCGCTTGGGTTGCTCTACAAACACCCCAAGCTCCAGTCTGCCTTGCAGTGAGATAGCGCAAACACCCGTGCTGATTTTACCCGGACCGACGTGGATTTTCTTCTAGTGATAAGAACCCTTAACCCTCTACCGTCTGATGTAAGATTTCCTGGAAAAATAATTTTTTTCTTCTTTCTATCGTGTTACTGATGATGCAATAACATCATATCTATATAACTTTTTTCATTTTGACGCATAGTGAAAAAATATATAATATGTCCCCCAGGGGGAACATTGGTCACCAGAAGGCAGTAATTTAAGTGTCACTCTTGAGGAACATCAGGCATACATACAAACATAAGGTATTATATTTCAATTTGAACTAGATTGTTATAATATGAGGATGGACAAACAATCAGGTAATGACAAAAATGTACTGTACCAAGATTCTCTGACTTGAAAAACATATACAGTCCTTTTTATTCACGTTGTTACAAAGTTCAGTTTGATAAGTTTACTCTCGATGGTAGGTGGCAAAGCAGTTAGAAGATACTGTTATACAAAGATTTACCTTGCACTTCTTGCATGCAAATCTACTTTTACCGGTACATTTGTCGTTTTTGCACCTGTTTCTATTTTTTTCCAAAACAGGAAAGTGGCCAATTTGGTCAAAACGGACAATGTTCTCGGGACCAGATCGAAGACGTTTGGGGGTTGAACTCTGACTTTCCTGTGGTGATGGCCTTCCACGTTTTGCTGGTCGTGCTTTACCCTTCGCTGTTAGTGCACTAGCAACCGATAATTTGAAATGAGCCAGCGGTAGAATGTCTTTTCTTTGAAGGTTCAAATCTTCAGCATCCCTTTTGTATAGTTTCCAGGAATTTATTATACACATGTCGAACATATGAAATACAAGTCTCATATAGAACTTCTTACATCGCAGAGAGATTCTATAAAGCGCTATAAGACTATCAGCCAGGTCGACGCCTCCCATGCATTTGTTATATTTCTGAATAATGTCACGGCACCAATGCATTCGTGTGTCAGATACCTTCATTATAGAAAAATACATCACGAGGCCAATCCACTGTTCGAGCTCATTCTTCGTAAGCCCCAAAGGTTTATTCACATTTTTTTGCACAGAATAAAGGTTTGATTGTTCGACAACCAGTTCTAGAAACGAGTCAGTAATGAAGGACTTGAAATATTCGTACGGATGTTGCACTTCGTGGCAGCAGGGTTCGGTCCCAGTTGGCAGCTGATATTCAGGTTCTTGAGTGAACCCACCGTCTTTATTGTACCACTGCGGGGCTAAAATATGCCTCTTTGTCCGTGTAGCTCTGGACGAACCGGTGCTTTCATCAGCCTGTAGTTCCAAAACTACAGTTTCATCGTTAGGAAATTCATCACTGGGCTCATCATCATGATCCTCGTCTTCAATATCTAATTCAATTTGTTCAGGAGCAAAAGTTAGGTCCCCAACTTCTTCATCTTCTCCGTCACAATCGCTAGGACCATCACTGTCAATAGCTGATTCTTGTATTTTCATTGCAGTGTTTCGCCCATAGAATGAACTTGGTTGAAAAATATCTGGAAATAAAGAGAAAGTGAAAATTTGAATTGAATTCGAGAATACGGATTATATGTTGATTATGTACATCCAATGAGAGTATTTCATTGAATTATAATCAAAACTCAATGCATTTTATCGTTCATAAACTATGTATTCACCTGAATGAGCATGCATATACAATATTGTACCATGCAGTTTTTCCATAAATGTACATGATACAATCACCTGACGGATGTTCCTCCTCAGTGACAGACAATAAATGCAGTGGAGAGCCTGATGTTCCCTCTCAGTGACAAACAATGAATTACACAAAAAAAGTTTATTGTTAAGTTAAAAGAGAAACCGAATACATCAGACATGACCTAGATTCATGAGAACAGCTTATAAAAATTCGCAGCATCATAACTCACCATTGTTTTCGTCCATGATTAGGTAAAGATGGCAAGCTGGAGCATAACTGTCACACCTCGGACCCTTGAAACGTATAACCATCCACTGAGCGCGAAATCACTTCCATTGACGGTTGCTGCCGTGTACGACAACTTTAACATGTCCTCTACAGGGAACAACCGTCGTCAGGTCGCTACAGTCAATAACTGGCGCATAACTTCAATGTAAAAGTTATGTTCCCGGACAGTGACACGGGGCGGTAGAGGGCTAATTAGGGCATATACAGTACATGTACATACACTGAGGCAAATTATTTAAAACCAACAACTCTAACCTCGGAATTTGCGTTAACAAATTCAGAACACAGAAATTTGTCGTTATAATTCACGCTTCAAGTTTGCCATTTGATGAAATTGATATGTTAAGAAACTTTGTTTTTAAGTGAATTTTTTTCACGAGAAAAATTGTGAGCTCACAAAAGCTACATACGTCGAGTTGATTGATTTAAATAAAACTTTTTCAAGGTATTTTTCACCGCATTCATTCACCAATTTTTCAGGTTTGAAAGAACATGACGCTGGAAAGGAAAAATGAAATGAAATCTACAGAGCCATTCCGTCAAATTAACTAACAAATAAAATTCACTATTTTTAAATTTATTTTTTCTATTGCTTGGATCTCAGTCGGCGCCCGTCACTCGTTGTTTGTAACGCGTGTGGTTTATATAAGGATGTGACTTATCTTATAAAGCAAACTTGAAGATTTATCCTTATTAAACCTAGTTAATTCTGGATAAAATCGAAATTAATGTACTTTACCACACTCGAAAGCCGAGGTGACTCAGAAAGACAGTCAGGACAACTTTACTTTTGTGCAATTTGCTTCAGCTGAGTGGACTGCTTTGATGCAATTTGCGCAGACTATTTATGCAGACTAACATGCCATCATAAGATGAAATTGGCAAAAATGAAAGTACGCAAAGCCCAGAAGATTTCGTGAAAAGTATAAGCCCGTAAATTCCAAATTAAGGGGAGCATATCGGTCAAAATCTATTTTCTATATTTAGGGGAGGATCATCTCCAAACTTGTTACATATATGTAAAATCGAAAAAGGCGACGATTTAGTTCATGTGAATTTTTCGAAAAAGTGAAAGAAAACGTGAAATTCATAGAAACGGCCAAAAAGAGGGTACTGTAGAACAAATACTGTACTCCTCCTACAAATATCGTGCTACAACATCGAGACACGTATAATTCGATTTATAAAGACAATATCTAGAGATTGTCGAGTCACTTTTTCAATTTTTTCTTGGTTCTCTTGTTATGATGATTTTTCTGAAAAATTTCGAATTTTCGAAACTTCCCCCATTTCCCCCTCCCACATTTTGCAATATATAATCCAAACTAAAACGAAATCGAGAAAAAAATGGCTCGACAATCGCAAGATCTTTTCATTACGAATCGAATTGTATATGTCTCATCGCTGTAGCTTCAAAACTCTAGGAGAAGATAGGTTTGCCGTGACAAAAAGTGTGAATGTTCAGGAGGGCTCGACAAAGTCCCCGCGCCTCGCATAGGCACTCAATGTAGCAAAGATACAAAACTAAGCGTTACTGGAGCTTGATTCCAGTCAAGGATGGTGGGAGCGGCTACGTGAACACCTCCCCGTTCAATGACAGGAGGGTGACTGAGCTGCAACCCGAGTAGACTCAATTTATATGCTAGGCAGCGAATTTCCTCCGATCTAATTTCCCCCACTCCCCTCCTTTGCGGGATCTGTCCTGAACGCATAAATAAACGTACAGAGGTTTTGGTACCGTTGGATAGCTCAGAATGTCAGCTTTAAGATGAGACTAAAAACCGGACAAGGTCAAAAACTGCCGATTTTGACCGATATGCTCCCCATAAGGCTTAAAGCATGATTGATTTATACGTAACTGAAACATTTTGTAAGTTTTAAGTGAAACTCACAGGCTGCGCGGTGCCGGCGATGAGCTTGCCGTCGAGATACCAGGTAAGGAGCGCGGGAGGGCGGCCGTCGCTGCTCTGGCAGGCGACTTCGTAGTCGCGGCCCGCAGACAGTGGCTCGCGGGCGCCCAATATCGCCACCTTGGCGGGCTTCACTGCGCATGGAGGCGCCAGTGAGAGCAACAGCGCAGGATGATCAGAGTCAGGGCAGGAACTGAACTTAGCGGCATCAAGGAATGATGAGTCTTGATGAAATAATGCAAATTATTTTGCGATCAAATTGTAAGTAATTTAGTTCCTAAAGCATTGCTACTGTAGAAACTGGTCAATATAGTTTTGCAAGATAATACAGAACATTATAACTATATTTGAAAATGTAAGCAAATTTTCCAAAAGTTCAGTAAATAATTGATATATTTGCTATGGGATAGGTAGATTTGCAGACATCAAAATCGATGCCGATAAAGAAAATGAGCGAGAATTTAAATCGATGCGGCGCAAAAAACGTAAATTCGTATAATTTTCTATCAGCATCTATATTTCAGTACTACCATCGTAGTCGACTTACATCACCTCATGAACGTTATAAAAGAATTCATATCGTTACAAATTTCACTCAACCCAGGCATCCCAGAAAGCTTTTTAGAATCGTGTGACATATAACATGTAGGCGTTCATCGCTTTTTCGGTGTATGAAGAAATGTAAATTTGACCAATCCACGTGTCCTTTATTCTGATGTCGTTACATTAGAACTCGTATGTATTAATTGTGTAGTTTTTATAATAAATTATTAGTAAAAATAATTTAATAATAATAATCAATTAGCTATTAAAAAATGTTTATCGGTGGAGCTGTCAACTGAACAAGCTCCAAGTCCATCCCTGGAATAAGAAATATTAAAAAAATATGTCGGAAAATTATTCTCATATGAACTTCTTTTCAGAAATTAAAAAATTCAGTGGCGCCATAGTTTTCTTTAAAAAAAGCGCGTCTGATCTCACGGGGACATTTGCAATTCGAGTGCCACTTCTGGGCTCCTGGAGCGACGCTCCTGTAACTGATCAGTTTCTATATGCATGGCGTCAGACAGCCGCCTGAATTTAACCGCTCATATATATATTTTTTTTTGAGATACATGGCTTCGTAATTTTCTTATTTAGTGTTCAGAACACGGATTAGTGCACGCATCAGGTGAATTCATGTTCATTTACCACCTATTGTTGACAAAGTGCATGTAATGTCGACAAAAATCAATGACGTTTGGGCGTACTCAAACAGATAACGCACCACTTATTGACTGACATTCAGGAATTGTTTTTGCCTTAAATTAAAGTATAGTGCAATATTAAATGTCACTAAATTATGGGTACTAATTATCAGGGAGATACGCATTCATATTCGTTCAGTAATCATTCATCATTTCTGTCACACTTTTAATATACCTTCTTAGTGAAGCAGTCATTTTGCATAGATGTTACCAGTGTTAATAATAAAGGTGTCTCATCACTATTATTATTCATTATCTTTATTACCACGGGCATTTTTCGAGCGTCCTAATGTCGCTCTTCTGTTTCTGTTCTGCTGAAGTTTTCATACATTATTTAATGACCAAAGATTCGACTTTACTTCAGTACTAATTATTTCAAGTCAGACCCTGAATGTAATAGTTCCTCAAATCATTCCCAACGAAAAAAGAAAACAAGTTTTTCTGATTGTTATGGTGTACCTACAGCATTATTCAACCGCGACACCGTGTGTGGCGTTTTTAATTCTATCTTATGGGCTTGATAAATGGTGGAAATACTAGCAGCCTAACAGGAACTACATATCTGCATGCCTGCTTGGAACTCCTGCTACTGCGAGACGAGCGGTGCTTCAACTGCAGTATTGTGACCTTTTCAACGTCATACTCATGTTCAAAGTTATCCCTTCTTTTTCATGCTAAATGTGTAAAACTAAACTTATGAATGCAGATATTCAGTATCGGGATACGGTTTGCATTCGAAGCAAATTTTTATATTCACGCTGAGATACGGTCCTGCATCACCGGCCTTTCATGCACGCGTCGCATAACAAAAACAACGTTACATGAGAGGGTTACCATTACCTCGGGTCATATCCTTCTGTCTGAAATATATATCACCTAGAAGTACAGACTCTGGAAATAAACAAATGAAAGTTAAACTCGTGGAATGCGTGTTGTGAACGCATGAGGTCGTGGCGGTCTCGTGAGGCCTCTAGATTCAGACAGTAATGTCAAGTAATCAGACCGTTGCTGGCACAGCAAACTCTACAGCTTGTTATTTAACTTCCTACTTCAAATGCTACTCCTCGGCATCACTTGCTCATATAGCTTTAATTGCATAATGCTCATAGAGCATTAATTTCAGGAAGGGATGTAATGAGTTGAAGGTATGTGAAAAATGATAAATTATTTGTTGACTACCATGATATTCTTCATGAAAATTTGATTTTGAATTTTGTGTCTCCTGATGCAGCAAAGTTAGGAAACTGCAATGGAACACATCATGTCGATATCATTTTTTCGCTGAAAAAAACAGAAAGATGCTTGGAGTAGTGGTGAGAAATAAAAAACACTATTAAATAGTTTTTAGAAATTATAGTTTTCGATAATATTTTTTCATGTGGACGCCCTCCCAATAAATCCTTTTAGAGGATTCTTAAACAAATCGATTTTCAGATTCAAGCTAGATGCAATATAAAATTTATAGTAAAGTGAGCATGATTAGGTTTGAATGTCATCGCCATCTGAAAAGAAATATGTATTCATACAAATTAATCAAGATAAAAAATGCATGCGCTGTATATATGTTCCAGTGTGAACATAATGTGATGAACTTATTTATATACGCACACAGACATTCGCAACGTCTTTCTGTCAGCCAAAGTCTAGGATGAATGTCCCTCTATGTATAGCGCCTCTATTGTATGCTGGTGTGTGTCACATTCTGCATGCGTAAAACGACTTTTTGAAGCTATCTAATTAGATCTCAATAATTTACTTTTAATTATACTAGAAGAAGGTGAAGTAAGTAGTGATACTAATACTGGAAGAAGAAAAAGAGCTTTTCTAGGTAGTTGAGCATATCTACAAATATTTTACTTTATTATTTTTTTATAAATATATACTAAGACAAACTATTTTATTCGTATATTTTGAAACAATAAATAATATCTATTTTGGATAAAACTAACAGGTACTTAACTATGCAAAGGATACAAGAAAATATATTTTGATTTCGTCACCTTGCATTATTTTTTGCATAAACGTAGCAGTTTAGTTTAAACATAAGCAAAAAATACGATTATCGTATGGTCGTAGCAAAATCTTTTTTTAATGGCTGTAGCCATGTTTTTCTCCACTGCACGTTTGCAGCACCAATCTATGCGCGCTAGGCTAAAAAGAAGGTCATATGCGCGTATACTTTATTATAGGTTCAAAGTGTGCACAAAAAGCTCAGCAGCAAGCCAGAGCTATTATACTTAAAATGTAGGCAAAAGAATAATCTTTAGGCATTGTTTTAACGAATGCGACAGTAGAAAATTGACTCGACTATAACACGCTCTGTTTGATGAAAGTCGTAAACGAAGAGGATAAACGGAAAAATTTGTAAGGTTTTTGTGAAAGAAGATTGATTCTATATGTATGATTTTCATAGGATAACAAATCATTATTGATTAGACTACTGCGAAACGGCATAATTGCGGAACAAATTTGTTCTATTCACTATGAAAAAAATTTCCGATCCTAGGGACTAAATAAGTGAGGTTATCAAAATTATTTTCTATTAGTTGCGCCAAGATAAGAGATTTGAGATACATCAAACCACAACTTGTGCAAGTCTAAACTGCCCCACACGTCTAACGTCCCCTCAGCTCATAAATCGTTGGAGGAAACAATGGCATACAGGCATAAAATTTTGACCGCATAGCGATGAGAATTCTAATCCTTATCCGAAATTCATTGTCCAATCCTAATGAAAACATCATGATATGTGGGGAGCACAGGATCTCCCCTCAAGCTGCGGGCTGGACTTGCTGGTAATAAGCAGAAGAGGGATCTAGCGCTTCATAAAGCTCATCAGGCTTATTGCCCCAAACAAAGATAACACAAAGACGCACTTAGCCATTATTATGATACAGGAAGGACACGCGCATTCTCCGGGCGATAATCAAGGGTCCAAAGCAGCGCATCTTTGCGCCGCTACATAATGAACGCCCGCTTTGCCTGACGATGGAGCCTAGACTACCCGGCACAGCTTCAAAAATATGGGGAGAGATCGCGTGACGATAAGCAATAATTATTGTTGTCATGTCGTTATGTGGCGTAAGGAATGCGCCAATGATTGTCCATCTTCATGTATAATAATTTTTAATTGAATTTGTAAACGTTACTTTGAATAGCTTCAACTTTGGATAAATACAGGATTAATAATTTGTCCTTCTTATGTGTATTTTGTAACTGACTTACTGAATCATTTGGATCTGATAAGAATTCAACCACAAAATTGTGTTACTGGAATTATGGTTTGAAGATTCATGACGTCTTAGCAAGCTAAGCTGACGACGTCATCAATTTGCAATGGCCGGCAAAATTAGAAAATGCATCGTATCCTGATTACCGTCGCCCTTAAAGAGAATTAATGAAGAGCCTGCATTTCTCAGGCCAGCTTCCCCAGGAGAAGTGTCTTGTCGTCTTTATTTTCAAATTAGTCAACTAGACGTCGCATCAAAGATACAACTCACGAGCGATGATAAACGCTAAGTTTACCACTAATTATTGATGATCAAGTGCACGCAGTCGATGTACATATGCGTTTGTGCTCTCAGCGTTGATATTTTTTATAAAGCAAAGCGTGCACGAAAAGTAAACCTGTCTACCCGTACGTTATCATAATTTTTATTCCTCAATTAAGGTTTCAAATTCTGTTCGGCGAATTTCGGTTTTGCTAATCTATTGTTTTTTATTAAGGGTTTTCCGAACAGACGATGTGGCTGAACTCCGAAACGTTTTCTGTGAAGATATGTTAAATTTTCATTAAATTATCTTTATGGGTAAATTATAAATTAATTTTCGTTTCAAACAATAGATCGAGGGACATTAGGAATGGTATTATTTCTAGGTGTCTCAGCAAAAAAAGTCAATGCCTGATTTGTAGTGATCGATGCACTCGTATTAATGTTTGCAATACCGCCTTTTTAATTTGTTCACTTCATGTTCTTCTCTCTAAAATAATGGAAACATAATCGGCTGTTATCCAGCATCGATCAAAGCAGATTCAGTCTTAAGTCAACCTCGGGTTGCATTTAAATCTTCGTCGCTGAGAAATGACAGCAGAAATTCAATGAATATTTAAATATTAATAATTATTTATTATTATTATTATTTTTGTTTATATAATTGAAAATGCAATACGAATAAGCTCACTAAATTCATTGAAAATGAGGCGATGATGTAAATTAAGCATCAACTGCTCTAAGTAAAAGTTTAAATAACGTATACACGTACGCACGACTGTAAAAGGTTAAGATTTGGTAGTAAACGATGCGATATAGAATCGTAATTAAGTATGACCTGAGGGTAGTTCGTATGTAGCGGGATCCGAGGATATAGAGGAACAGCGTAAACGATTATATAATATACTTTTAGGATTAAAGTTTGGCTTACAGTTTAGGATAATCAGATTATAAGTTGGAGCTTTAACACTGATGTCTTCGGCGTCCAGTTGAAGTATGGATAAGTCTAGAGTGTATCTAGGTATGGTGAGGTTGGTGATGCCTATACCGTGACTTGCAACTCACGGTTCATCTCGATGGTGACGATGGTGGTGACGGGTATGGTGAGGTTGGTGTTGTGCGCCTCACACACGAGTGAAGCGTGCAGGTGTTCACGCTGCAGCTCAGGGATGGTCAGGGTGTTGGTGGCCAGACCTGGCCGTGGCCACTCCCAGCTGCTGTCCACCACGTGGCTGCCCAGCCGCCACACCACCTCTGGCGGAGGCTCGCCTGATGTTCATCAGATAAATATAAGATTATTGGACTAAACTAATTATGCAGTTCAAGTAGATCGAATATTAAAGCAGCAAAAAGGCAAAGATTGAATCAACGTGCTTATAAAATTGAGTGCGAACTAATCATAATTTCCACCAAAAGTCAGAGAGAGCTTGGAAAGTTACTGGAGAGCCCTTGACTACACTGCAGAAGGAAAATGGACGACTTGGCTGAAACGAGTAACACATCTCTAAATTGATGTAAACAAAACTAAACTCATTTGATCGTAACTCAAATAAATGGAAACACTTATGAAACATGATATGCAAGTTAATTAGCGAAATATTCTTTCTAATTATAATGCTCTCAGTTTGTTACATATATAAAGTCTTGCGTATTTATATTCAGGTGATTCAAGCGAGAGATGGTTTAGTCTGCCTTAAACAAAATAACGAAAAAATGTAAACTCGTAAAAAGAAAAAGAACAAAATAATCATCCTGGAATTCAACCAAACTCAAGCCACTGAATTGCAGCAAAGGATTCGAAAGGGCGAGGGAAAAACTGGCATATAGTCTAGACAAATGCTGATTCCTGTCAAAGACGTCTGTGATGTCCAGGAATAGGACGATTCAAGTTTAAGACGCCTGTGGGAAGACCAAATAAAGTGGAAGCCACTTAATTTGACATTCACGACGACTTGGAGAATAGCATTGGAACTCTAAAATAGACGACCAATGCAAATGCCACAAGGCCTGGTCCGTATTGAGCCTTCCTTGAGGACGCTTTCCCTTGACAACATAGGATGCGCAATCCCGGGGAATGTCAGTAATCACAGAGTCCGCGTTCATTACAATAGCGTAAATATACTCTGCGAAAGTGAACAAATATATAACCCCTATGTAAAGTGGTGATGAAATAATTTAAATAAATTACGGTGGTAAATTGGCTACTGGAACACGTATAAGAACCGGCAAAAATAGATCAGACATTGAATCAAGTACAATACGGATAAAGTCAGCTTCTCAATGCCAACTCAGTCTGAAAGAAGCAAAATACGACATCAAAAAACCAGCACCGCCTAGAAAGCTTTTTTGTGAACACTGCAGACTTCTTGAAAAATTATCGCATGAAGCGATTCTTCTCTCTAGACTCTAGAGAAATGACAGCTTGTGTGTTAGGAATTTTTCTTAACACACAATTTTTTTCCACGGAGATTTAAAAGTGGACGCAGAAATAAATCACTGCAGGATTCGACCAGAATTGACGCGATATTGTTACATGAAGTTAAAAAATTTGTTCCCATTTAGAATCAAGTATGATATGAAACTGGCATAACAATACGAACACTAAAAATAAGTTGAAATTTCAATAATCTGGAAATAATGGAAACGTTTCGGTGATTCTCTATGTTCTAAATTTTCAATCCAATTCACGAGTGTAATGCAAAGGAAAATGAAAAGCTGAGACCCTTCGTCAGATACAAAGATTGTTTGTAGTTGAAAAGTTGCTGGACAACAGTATTTGTTCAGTTCACATTCATTTTAAAATGAACTTGCATGAATGTAACGTGAACCTAATCTTTCAGGCCTGTGGTATTATAGATCCTATTTCAGGGAACAAATGCTACTTATCCGCTTCTGGCTAAACTGGACATGTTCCGGGATTCATGCCACTCTTCGTACTTTTTGAGGGCATAAATATAGTTAAACGATAAATAATACAGTTTTAAGACAAATTAGTGGAATTTCACTCGATTGTCCTGTGTTATTCCCAGCATGATTAAATTTAGTAGTTTAACTACAAAAAATACAACATATGAGTCAATCGTACGAAAATACGGCTTAATTGTGCCATTGATTTAAATAGCTACTTTAATATTATTTATACTACAATTTAGTAATCATGAATATTTGAAGCAAATGAAGTAAAACAAAAAAATTAAAAACATTCTACATATACGTAATTTCGTTCTATATGCTTATGAAATAGGTTAATAGATTTGACAAAGCGATATCAGAAAAAATTAATTCTTTGGAAAATGTAAAATTTAATTGCGTCACATGAGAATAATTGCTAGACAAGACATCTCCAATCCTTCTATTACATATTGAAGAACTCTGACATGATTGACGTGCATAACTTTTTTACGTGTCACAGTGAGAGACATTTCTGGTTCAACCTGAGTCTGTTGATACGAGAAAATCAATGCAGTTTTTCACTTTTCGTCTTATTTGATTCAATTGAATGTTGAATCAGCACCAGCCCACCTGACCCCTAACCGCAAATTTGATGTAAAGCATCGCGTGACAGGTGAACGGTACAGAAGACCAACAGTGAGTTTTTCTCGACGAAAGAATAGAACTTATTGCTATGATTTTCATGAACATGTCCGTAATTTAATATGTTCTAAATTTTCCGCCCATCAGATAACTGCTTGATGTATAAACCGGTGAGAATCAACACATTGAGCCTTGATTACTTGAATTTATTGTTTAATTAAACCAAAAACAGAATAGAGTATTTCAACGGTCTGGGAAAAAAGTTCACCCGACGCTCGGAACACTCATGATATGATTCAGTACACGACTCGGCCGAGCGCAGTGTGCCATAGCCTATGTCTTCAAAAAACTGACTGCAGACACTGATATATTTAAAGTTTCAATTTCTCATGCCATACGGCGAGCCTGGCTACTGAAAATTTGGTTAATGCCAATGGTCAAAGATGACGATGATTGACGTTGAGTGACACCGCGTACTTGAGAAGTCGCATGAAGTAAAGCCACAACTTATTTATTATTATTTTCCTGAAAAAGTTGTTCAAATGCGTGCATTTAATTTGGTGAAAAACCGTCCACAAACTTGATTTATTGTTTCATAATTGATTTCCCTCTAAATTCTAAAATTATTATCTGCTAACTAGTAACATTTCGTTAGCAGCGTTGTCGCGTGAAATGAACGTGTTTCTTCGATGAAAGTCAGGGCACATGACAGGTGTGCAAATGAGTAGTTAGAGCTGAGGACATTACGCCATTGTAGTCACGTTTGTATATCGTAATAATTTGTAGCTCACATTCCTGCAACCGACATTTGATTGACTATCGAGCGACTTCTGATTGATCAAATGATAATCTGATAAGGTTCATCTATAATTTCAGGGTTCTCACGTAAGTTGACGGTGACACCGAATTTCAAATGGACGCACAACCGCGAAAAGTGCTTCAATTAAGTGCGCATCTTCTAATTGATTATTCATTGAAACACTGGGCAGTCCTGTTAATTTATTCACCTGTGGAAATAAGCGGCTTTGATATTACTCATGTGAGTAATTAATTTAAGCATAGATTAAAAAAATAGAGCTGTTTGGTAACTAATTATTAGATGACTCGCGAGTTGTTTTCCGTTTTTTATTTAAGTCAATGAATAAAAAAACATCCTGTATTCCAGCGTCATACGAGGTAATCGGGTCATAATAGTTTGTAAAGGAGGAGACACCCAGGAGACCAGTTGCCTTTCGTCCCGTTTGCTATTTTTAGAAAATCCCAAGTCAAATAAAAAGCTGGTTTGCTTTTATAGGTACCGATATGTGGTTTATTTTTTCCTTCTGTTGTTTGTTATCTGCATTCCAATTGCAGATAACACAAACCATAAAAGATTATTTGTTTTTGCATGGTAGTTTTGTTTCGTATGTTGAATAATATTAAAACGCCTCATTTTCTTGGTAACAATGATTTATACTTCAGATCTTTAGGACGATGGCGTCAATACATTACTCATCAGGCCCTTGTGATTTTTCAATTTATTTTTTTGTGACTGTTGTTAATGCTTATAAGAGGTTAACTTCGTTTTTATGTAATTGGTTTTCTGTGTTTACACTCCAATAACTAGCGGATGGTTCTTACACAACGTTTATATAGGAGATGGTAGGCGGTATCGGGAAGAGTGATCGAAGATCCTCATTTCCTTCTATCTGGTGCCAATGCTTCAACAGGGCTCGCCTCTGGTCGTTTGTTAATATCTGTGGGTAATATTTTATTTAAAGAAAAGGTAGCTTTTTGTGACTTTTCTGATATGATTTTACCACTTAGGGGCTCCTTAAGTTGCTCCAAGAGACGCACCTTGCTATAGGCTCTTTGTCTCATGATGTTTGCAGAAGATTAGGGTAGTTTCAACAATATCTGGAACTTTAATTGTTGCAGTTTCGTTTGTGCCTTAGTATTTCGCCTTTCACAAAACCTATCAGACAAAATGAGGGCCTCAACATACTGGAACGTTTCTGTTGCTTTGAATGGACGTTTATAAGTTTTTGTATCTATAATACCGCCCTTATTGAAGTTTTTCTCTTTATATATTGTGAGTGAGGTTGAGAAAGTTTAATTCCTGATTGCTGATATCCATCGTGAATTTTAATGACTAGTGTAATGTGTTTTGAAGAACCTTTTGAGGTCATCCTCTACTGCTTTGCTCAGGATGAAAATGTCATCTCTGTATCTCCGATACATAATAAGTTTGAGAATTTTGTCTATAAAGTTTCTCTCCGCAATGAGAGTTGGTACACATACATATATCAGCAATCCCGGGTGAACACTTAGATGCCTGAGCTAAGAGAATTCCCTCCTTATAAAGGGTGTCCCAAAAAAAACGATACCCAACTTTGAATGGCTGTAACTCGAAAAGTAATAGAGTTAAAAATTTTTGGAAAATCAGGATTTGTTTCCTATGTTTTTCTGCATCTCTCCATCAAAAATCAGACAGATCGATATAGCCATAAGCGTTTGATAGAACTTTCAGTGACATGTGCTAAAATCGTGCTTGCGCAAAGTTTTAGTAAGATCATTTTGCATACTCATTACGTTGTCTTGACATGTTTTCTTTTCGCTGTTTGATTTGTAGCGCATTTTCTCATTTATGAAAAAAATGCACTATTGTGCTCGCCATGTCCGTCTGTCCGTCCGTGACTTCATGTTTTCGTCGGCGAGAAAATGCGCTCTCTGTCACTCACTGCAGTGAGTACTGAGTTCCATTTTTTGTATCTTTGGTGAGACAAAAACATGGCAATCTTTGGTGAGAGGAAATCATGACAATCTTTGGTGAGAGGCAATCATGACAATCTTTGGTGAAACACAATCATGACAATCTTTGGTGGGAGACAATCATGGCAATTTTTGGTGAGAGGCAATCATGACAATCTTTGGTGAGACACAATCATGACAATCTTTGGTGAGAAACAATCATGGCAACCTTTGGTGAGACACAATCATGGCAATTTTTGGTGAGAGACAATTATGGCAATCTTTGGTGAGAGAGAATTTCAAAAACAAAGATTGTCTCTCACCAAAGATTGCCATGTTTTTGCCTCACCAAAGATACAAAAAATGTAACTCAGTACTCACTGCAGTGAGTGACAGAGAGCGCATTTTCTCGTCGACGAAAACATGAAGTCACGGACGGACAGACAGACGGGCAGAAGGACGGACGGACAGGACGGACGGACAGACGGACATGGCGAGCACAATAGTGCATTCTTTCATATATGAGAAAATGCGCTAAAAAATAAAACAACGAAAAGAAACATGTCAAGACAACGTAATGAGTATGCAAAATGATCTTACTAAAACTTTGCGCTAGCACAATTTTAGCACATGTCACTGAAAGTTCTATCAAACGCTTATGGCTACATCGATCTGTCTGATTTTTGGTGGAGAGATGCAGAAAAACATAGGGAACAAATTCTGACCTTTAAAATTTTTTTAACTCTATTACTTTTCGAGTTACAGCCATTCAAAGTTGGGTATCGTTTTTTTTGGGACACCCTGTATAACGTTCCATTGAATTCCAGGAAGTTATTTCCGAGAATCAGCGGTAGGATTTCCCTAAGTCCATCGTATTGTTCTTTTTAATTTCATATGGAAAGACGCTAGCATCGTAGGCCTTCAGATTTACGTCGATTGCTCCTCTTAATGGGATGTTGGTATACATGGACACAATATCCATGGATACTAAAAGGACGTTTGTGTGAGATTTTAGCGTTTTTAAATGATTTAGTAGTTCATGACTGTCTCTCAAGTATGTCTTTAGATTTTTTGAGATAGGAGGCAGAAAATAATCCGTAAATTTACTTACCACAGGCAGATGTTATAGGTCTACCCGCAAAAATTGTGTATTTATATATCATGCCCGCAGCATATATATGGTTGGTATCCTCAAATCTTCGCGTTTTTGCTTTAAGATATTTGAGTTTGTTTTGAGCTTTTGAGTTGATTATTTTATTTTTATATCCAACATTGACAAAACGAAAATAATGGTCAGGTACCCAAGTCGAGTGTCGAGTATCTAAGCGGGGTCGTTCTGGGTATAACGAGCTCGTTATGTGTCTTTGTCCAGCTGATTCTGGAGCTAAGCAATTGCAGCATAAGGCCGATGCGATGTTTAAAAACACCGTCAGTGATTTGTTTATAGTTACATTATGAATCTTACTATACGTACAATTGGCTCCTCTCAACTCATTTAGATTGTTTTTGCAGGTGGAAGTAAGCTTGCTTGTAACTTATGGGCATTATTTGCTATATACTCGAACGCATTAGAGTACCGTCATTACAAAATAAATTTTCAGGGCATTTATGTGTTAAAGCAGCATCTAGGGAAACGAATATTCCCCAAGTGTCAGGTCTATTATTAAGTCATGAGCCTATGGGCAGCTTTTCGGGTTTGAAACATTTCAATCAGCTCCGAGATGTTGCTGCTATTGTTATGGAAGGCTTCGGAATAATTAACATAGCCCAAAGGTTATTGATACAGTCTTCGCGCCATGATAAAGTGACGATAAATAACCAGCTACTCTTGCGCAATGCTTCACTACATAAATATAAAGCCCCCATTGGAATACTGACCAATAAAGTAGAAGTAAATGCAACCCTGACCTGCGTATCAGGTCTTTAATCTTTCGCAAAATTGAACAACTTGATGCAAGAAAAACACTCGCAACACACGGCCAGCTAATCAGGCAGGCAATTAGCTCAGCCGTGAACTGGCATTCAGCGGTGATGTTGACGACCTTGTCTGCATGGTGTCACTGAGTTACAAGCCAATATTTGCGGCAGAAATGAGCACGACGTGCATGAAACTCGCATACAAAAAATGCGGATAATGAGCAGTCCGGGAAAATATGAAGTTTTCAAATGTGGTTCCGACAAGGCTGGTCGCTACTACGTGTCGTGAGGGCGATTTCCTGGCTTTATAAAGAAGCCAATATCGGCATCAATATATCTGCTGTGCTCTCAATAGCAACTCAAATATATCGATAAGCCATTACAAGCAATATATAGGGTGGGGGCTTGCGATGACCTGTCCTTTGGAAATGGGTGACGAGATCTCCTTTTCTGCGACTTCTTTTCTAAGGTACTGTGACCCTATAAATTGTTAAGATTGACTGCCACATTTACTACTGCACAATATTTTCATGACCACCGTAAAATGCTATAAATTCTGTTCAACCATTGCTGGATTAATATTGAGCCATTTAATGACTATGGGCATTTTGTATATTTTCAGGTCGAACGCAAATAGTTAACTTTGGAATTCAATGTCAAACTTCTTAGCATATGCATGATTCATTATTAAATCAGAATATTTTTTTTGTTTATGAAATTGTGGTTCACAATGTCTATTTTGTGAGGCCGTTAGTCGGTAGAGACGTTAGGTAAACATTATACCTCCAGAGACCAGCATTAACATTATACTCTGCATCGAACAAAGCTAACCACTACTCGCTCTCTGTACATTCAGTCAGCTTCGATTTAAAGGAAATATACGTACGATTCTCTATATTAGTATAGAACGGAGAGCATCATGCACTATAGAAAATTGAGCTTGTATTATTCGAAAAACACCAGTGAGCGAGTACAAATAAATATAATATTGTTCGTGTTTGTCATGGTATCACTTAATATTTTAATTACACAATAAATTGCTATAGATACACTTTAGGTACATATGATATAATATTCCTATTATTTCATGCAGACGTCACGCCCGACGTCTGCACCAATTCCTTTTACAATCCATATTTGATTCCAAAGCTCAGAAGCGAAATAAAGAGAAAGCTAAAGCGCGGGTACAAACAATAACGACACGGAGACTTTACAATCATGTTGAACCTTTCCTTTGCATTAATTATCAAATAATATATTTCCACAACCTGAATGTAACGCCTTCCTCAAAAGGTTGCTACGCCTAGAACTGTTCAGGAGTAATTCTTGCTCTTGCATGAGGTGCTGATCACTAAGCTAAAGAGAAGGTTCAATAATTGTATACTAATTTCGCTGCGTCGGTTTAACAGTGAAGGAACAGACCAGTTGCAATTATTGAATAAGTCTGCACAAAATAAAGAAAATGAAAATATAACAGGAACGCTGGCAAGGTTGTGACGAATAAATATCAGATAATCAATTGAATACATGAGAAAAAATATGAACTAGGAACACTGAACAGGTAATGCGACTTTAATTGGTGACAGACGCAGGAAAAGTGGCCGGCCGAGTTACGTGTCGGCAGTCTGCTTATTCAAGCAGATGTTGTCATACGAGTCTTAAAAATAAACTATCTGTGTAAAGTTAATGAGCTGCGGCTACACTGCATAACCTGCATAAATCTGTAATAACTTCAATTAAATAACTTCTAATTTACTTTTAAATTGCCTTAGCCTCCCTTGAAAAGAAGAAAAGTTGAGATTATTATGTCACGTCGCCTGTCTACGTACCGTCAGCGGCCTCACGCCTACGCCACGTCTGTCACGTCGCCTGTCTACGTACCGTCAGTGGCCCCACGCCTACGCCACGTCTGTCACGTCGCCTGTCTACGTACCGTCAGTGGCCTCGCAGATGAGCCTCAGTTGGCTGCCCTCGTCGTAGGGCCCCACGACGCCGTAGACGGGCTGGCCGCTGGACAGGAGGATCTCGGGGGGCGATGGCGGGACTGCGGCACATCAAAAATACCTCGTATTGTTGTGTTTAATTTTCTTAAAGCAGTAAATACTAAGACATGTTAACAAAATTTTAAGGTGAAATTATTCTAGAAATTTTCATTAAGGGAAAACGAGCATAGAATTATCTAAAAAGACTGTGTCAATTTATCAGATAGAAGAAAACGCCTTCAAAAGCTTTTAATGGGAGAGCCAAATAAATTTGCTTATATAAAATTAGGCGCGAAATTAAAAAGCGCCTGACTAAAAAAATTCGATTTTCAGAACTTCAAATTTTAAATCTAAGTACTGAGGAATTTTGCCATATCGCCATATAAAAAAACCTTGAAAACACGCTTGACTTACAGCAAGATTAATTCTTTAAAACCAAGCACTGATAGCGTCTGGCTCAATTAACCCACTTAATTGGCGAGGATAGAGTTGCTGATTTGCTGCGACATAAGTAATCATGGTGATAGAAGATAATTCCTGTCACATGCAATAGGAAACAATTATCGGGGTACTGAAAAGAGGGCCCAGATAATAATTTCTCATAACGATGGCACTGAATTTTAGCCGTCATTACCGTAATGCTGCCATTCACTGCCGTCATGGCAGTTCAAGCACCTGCTGGGTGCCACAGCACCGCCGTGCGACCGCTGTCATCAAATGGGAGTCCAGTCATATGAATATAGCCGCGTAATTCACTGCAGTTGTTTATTCACACGTCGAGCGACTGCACAAAACAGCGCCTTCACGATGCCCAATGCAGGTAGTGTGGCGGCAGCGTGAGAGAGCCAGCAATAAGGCATGCGGCCAGAAGCGTGCACATGAGGCAGGGAAGGCGCAGTGAATGTTAGACGTTACTGTTCAGCATGGCAGCATCCATGGGGTATTAATAACAAAACGCCAAAACGCTCCCATCATGACTGCCGTTGCAGTGATACGGCATTCACGCGACTGCCGATTGGCAGGGGGCTGTAGGTATAATGTTGGCACTAACTTTTTACTGGGATTGTCTAGGAATACCCGATCAGAAGTAACACAATTTGGATTGGGTAGAGGGTTACAGAGACACATGAAGGAAAGATTATCATTGACCTTCAGAAGACAATTAAGAAGCGAACTTGAAACTTTAATATAACCGCACCCTATATAATGATTCTCATGTCATAACGTAAGCCTCATGGTCATTTGTTAAGCATCCCAAATTCACTTTATACGGTGAAATCGATTTATTGATTAACGTTATGGCCAGATCCATTCAGAGGTCAAAATAAAAAGTTAATATCATTTAGGACCTGAGCCATTCGCGCATATGCAACAACTTTCTGCATCAGTCAGAAGCGCGGACGACTTTCGGGTCAGATCGTGCAAAACTTTGACAGAGAGTGGCACCGAACCCAAAGTTTGGCATGCGATAATTTCTGTCAATGGCGAAAAACGATCGGAACACACAATGACATTTAATATTTTCCCGAAAACTGGATTATACTCGTAGAAATATAATGTATTAATATTATAGAGATCTGTGTTATATCAATATAATATTAAGCCCACAAGTGCGCATGTTTTCAGAATATTCCGGTTTAATCCTTTTTTAAATTATTGCAACTAGAAATCATTGCCCATATCAGCATATATGTTCGAAGAAACGTGAAGAATGTCACCCGATCAGCTGACCAATAATTTATTCCACTGCAAAAAGTGACCAAATCTGCAGCATCGTATAGAATAGGCTATTGAACAGTACACCTAATGCATTTTGTTCTGTTAACTAAGCACAGCTTTTGAGCGTGAATTCATCTCGAAGCATTGAAATTTCGAATAAAATCAAACAATTTTGTTGAAAATCATCCAATATTTTGATATAAGTTTTTTTATTCAATTTTTTACATGTAAATACCCCGTGATCATTACCAAACACTAACCTTAGCACTGTAAAAATTATTGTCAAACAGTATATAATTGATCCAACAAACTCTATCTTGACTGTCTTACTCATGTTAAATTTAAACATCCTGTCAAGATTTACTCTCGTATTTTTCTCCCTGCCGCCATACGTCCTATCACGCTCGTCGCTGCAGAAACAGTTCGTGACATTGACGATAGAAGCGTTCACAGACAACGCATGTCAATCATTCACAAGAACGACACGCATGCAACTTTATAATGGCGGGGCTCGCGCCTTCTTTTTCTCTGACACGAACAAAACTCACGCATACAGAGGTACTCAAAAAGTTTCACTCTAATAAAAGGGGAATTAGCCTATCGCATTTCAAACAAGAATCTTTCAGAAAAATAAAATAGATCAAATAAAGGTGAAAAACTTACTTGTTGAGTAATAAATTTGAAAGTACGCAGTATGTACAAAATTGTTTTGAGGCCTTGCATACCTTCAATTTATATCATTTGAATAGTGTTTCTTTTCATAGTTTTTAAGACGACAATTCGATCCAAATATATATAGAGCGTATATAGTCTCTGGAAGCAAGTAATTCAATTTAATGTTCAACCTTTTCTTGACACGCTAACCGAGACTAGCTGGGAAGACATTAGTGTTTTTTTAATCGCTAAAATTGATCGTCAATGTCTCCTTAACAGAGCCCACTGTGCTGTGAACAATTGCCAGCAGTTTAGTAACACTTATATTCGAAATTAGTCAGTCAGACATGTGACATTAGTCATGACTGCAATGTATGAAGACAACATGAAACAAGACTGGATTGTCCTCCGATTGGATTTTAATATTTAGAGTATTTCGATGGATTTACGAGAATTTCACTCTGGGCCAGGCAGTTGATAAGATTTGTAAACGAGAAATCTGAGTGAATAATAACTCATGTATAATGTAAATTAATTAACTACGTTGGTGAGAAGTCCGGCCATTAAAAACGCACTTTGAATTGTGACAGTTATTTTCGGATGGAAGGCAATATATATATATATATATATTAGTTAATATTAATGGCTAATGGGGTAAATATTAGCATGTCAATTCATATTATTAATGTCAACATATTAACTAACATTATTAATATTAATTAATAATATTATTTATATTAGTTATTAGTAATATTCTTATTACTGTTATTATTGATAAAAATTATTAAAAGCCAAAAAGGTGCAGCAACCCTGAAGTCTGTGGTTTTGAAATACGTGGAATGACTGCCCATAACCAACAGTATAGCTTCAGCAGAACAGAAGTAGTCAAACAGAAATCTGAAAGCTTAAATATGGCATCTACTTGTTCTGCATGGTGGTGGTGATGGCCTGAGAGAAATTGGAGTGGATAAAACTAAAGAAATCACAAGCTCAACCAGGGAAGAAACCATAAGCACAACCACATGGTAAAAACATGGCAGTGGCTGTGGTGTGCATTCTGGGGCGACCAAGAGAAGATGGAATGTATGAGCGAATGAGGAAAGAGGTAAATGGGAAGGTGCTCTAGAGGCTAGTAGAAATGAAAGTTGAATATTTGAGAAAACATGAAGAAAGAGTTAAGCTACCTTGATCCAGATTGCACGAAGGAACACATGTATAGAATATATGGAGTGCACCTGAACAATTAGGGAACAGAGGTGTTTGGATGAAAGCTGAGACGTTGGGCGCAGGCAAGTTTGTGATCAGTAGAGAGTGACACAATGTGGGAGTGAATGTGGTTAGGCAACAGAATAAATATGATGCGAATGGGACATAAGTGAGCTGGTCCCATCTTACCCCACTGGGGTAAGATGGGATCAGGCTAGGGTAAGACAGAAGCAACTGGTAAATAATTCTTATGTTACAAAGTATTAAATAAAATTACAAACCTGATATTCAATATTATCCATCTAGAAACACATCGTTTAATTAAACAGCCACTTGTTACTGTTTTTTGTTGCAGGAAGGCGACTCTAATGTCACATTACAGTTTTTGCGACGAGAAAACTTTGTTAACCCTTTAACATCACATTTTTTTAAAGCACTTACAAAAAAATTTTCTTATTATTTATTGTGATTACGGTCAGTAAGTAGTGTATATAGATGAGTACGTAACATTGAAAATTGTATATTGAAGAAATATAAGGCAACATTTCAGTCTACTTGCTCATACGAGACCCTGACATTAAACGCGACCGTATGATCCATTTAGTCTTTTAAGCACAAAATATGAATGATATTATATAGCTGGCATAGTTAATTATCATTTTATACATTACTTTTGCTAGAAACAACAGGAAGTTGGAGAAACTTGCAAGAAACTCTAGTATTTTAGCAAAAATGCCTTTTTCGAGATTAAAATTTTAAAAGAAATTTTTTGTTTTTCCAACATCCTTGATGCTGGGAAAACAACCACTCTTGCGTTCTGCAGCTCACTAATGGGAAGAGACATCTCTACTTTCTCCATCCCCTTAATTAATGTAATATACAATAGTATGTTAAATTTTTCTAATTAAAAAAGGTAATAAGTTAGAATGGTTATTTTGAGCAAAAGATGAAAATTTTGACCAAAATACTCTATGTATACTTATGCAAAATAGTATATTCATTCAAAAGCAATTTTTGATAAACTGTGGGGGGCAAGATAGGACCGTTTGTGGGGTAAGACAGGACCTTTTGTAGGTTGAGATAGGACCACTTGTGTGGTAAAACAGGATGATTTAGTGGTCCCATCTTACCCCATGTCCAGTCCTTTTTTACCCCATTTTAGAATAGATGTCTGCAGGCAGTGATGGTAGCAGGTAGGAATTCTTGGTATATCTCAAAAGTTGCTTGTTACTTGAGGTTACATGACTACATCCACAAACCTGGCCAAAAATATTTTTTTAATCAGACAGAGCTTATTTCCGAAATAGGGGTTAACTATTTTGTGACCCTTCTTTACATAGGTTTTCTTTACAAATTAAACAAAAAATCATCATTGGCAGAACAGGATTGAAAGAAACACTGAAATGACATGCAATGATTGCTCTAACATATTCTTCCATCAAATTAAATTCAGTGCAATTAGAATGCATGCCATGGGCCGGTC